TGAGCTGCCAGCACAGAGCCTGACGTGGGGCTTGAACTCACAAACCATAAGATCATGACCTGAGCCGAGATCAAGAGTTGGATGTTTAATCAACTGATTCATCCAGGCACCCCTATAAAAATCTTTATAATGTTTATTTTTGAGGGGGGGAGGCAGAGAGAGAGGGAGACACAGAGTCCAAAGCAGGCTCCAGGCTCTGAGCTGTCAGCACACAGCCCGATTCAGGGCTCGAACCCACAGACTATGAGATCATGACCTGAGCCAAAGTTGGCGCTTAACCAAATGAAGCACCAAGTTGCCCCCAAGACCATTATTTTAAAGTCTTTGTCTAATAAGTTCAGTGTCTGGGCTTCCTTAGGGACAGATTCTGTCAGTTAATTTTCTTCACTTGAGTGGCTTTTTTCCTGTTTCTTTGTAAGCCTTGTTATTTTTTTGTTGAAAACTGGACATTTGAATATTATGAGGTGTTGATCCTGGAAATCATATTCTCTCCCTTTTCTAGGTTTTGTTGTTGATCACTGAATGCTGTAATAGCCATTGTCTAGTGCCGTTTTCCAATTATTTTTGCAGACTATCTTCCTTGCTGTAGGTGGTCATGGAAGTTTCTTTGCCTTAGCTTGTGTCCAGCTAGTGTTTTGACAGAGATATCCTTGAATAACTGCTACTAAAACAGGCAAACAAGAAAGTACCTCATCTAGTCTTTGAGAATTGGCCCTGTGCTGGGGCTCCTCTTCAACACTTGGCCAGACTTAAACTGAACTTAGGGGTCAGCCCACTGTTAAAACTTAAGGTCTTCTTAGGTTATTTGTTTTGTAAAGTATTTTCATTTTCATTCCTCTCAAGATATTTTCTAATTCCCTTTTCCTGGGTCTTTTCTGAGCATGCATCTGGTCCTAGGCATATCTGTGTCTTTCTGAAATGCCCTGTGTACACAGGTGTTCTTGAATGCCCTAATTTTCTAAAGAATCTCTCTCCCTGGTTCTTTCCTCCTAGGCCTTAGGCAGTCTCAAGCATCTGCAGGTTGTTCTTTGTTTTTGAGCAATGTCTGCCACTTTCTGGCCTGGTGAGCTCCATGTTAGGTAAAGCAGGGATGAAAATCCCTGCAATATGCGTATCTGACAAGATAGACAAATTAGAACACACCTATGTGATAATTTGTGACTGACTCTTTATTCCCTCTAGAACTAGGGAGAGAGTGGGGCAGGTGTAATTAAGAATGTCACAAAGCTTTCCTACTATTTTTAAGTTGCCTGTTTCTTGATTTGACTTACTCTTGGTGGTTGGTAAACCTTCACTTGTTCCAGGGTTTCTGATTCTTTTGTGATGTTTTTGTTGGAGGGTAGGAGTTTGGAGCTGACTTCCCCCCCATTTTGTTGTTGAGAAAAAGTGTTTAAAAGTCAGGAATTCACACACACTGAAAATGCATTTTGTTCCTCCAGTAAATTCTTAACTGTTGATACATCCTTTTAGTTTCTCCTTTGAGCTGTGTCAGTCACTGGCATGGACTTCACATGATTTCTTGTGTCTGCTTCAAGATCTTTCTCATCCCATGACTACCTCTGTGGGTCCTGATGGCCTGCAGCACAGGTTGACTTTGACAACCCCACTTTTTAAGAAACTGCTTGGCTTGTCCTGGAAAGTGTATCTATAGATATCTAGGATGTCCGTCCCACTGCCCAACCTGGCTGGAGCCTGAACGCTTGATTCCATGGTGGTTCCTTGACTTCCCCTTTTCTTAGAAATTCTTTGTTATGTTTATGGAGTGGCAAGTTGTGGAAGTTCAGTAGATTACTGCTTTTTTGAAAAAAAGCTTCATGTGGGGCGCCTGGGTGGCGCAGTCGGTTAAGCGTCCGACTTCAGCCAGGTCACGATCTTGCGGTCCGTGAGTTCGAGCCCCGCGTCAGGCTCTGGGCTGATGGCTCGGAGACTGGAGCCTGTTTCTGATTCTGTGTCTCCCTCTCTCTCTGCCCCTCCCCCGTTCATGCTCTGTCTCTCTCTGTTCCAAAAATAAATAAACGTTGAAAAAAAAAAAAAAGAAAAAAAGCTTCATGCATTTTATGGACTTAATCATTCCCTGTTACTAAAAGACAGCTTCAGAGGCTTACATAGGGGGCTTCTGTTCTAGGTCTCATTTTTTCTTAGAGGAATTAGTCAGTGCTCACTGGGCTCTCTCTGGGTACCAGGCGCTCAGTCTAGTTCTGGGACGAGGCCTCAGATGCTAAGACCTGGCCTCTGGTCCTGGAGCCCGTCCCATGGCCACTCGGGCTGCAGGTTTTCCATTCCTGTATTGATTTCCCCAGTGATTCCATCATGTTCTGGTTGTTGGTGCCCATCTTGCTTTTCAGTTTAAGTATAGCTTCTGGATACTTTTTGCAGTTTCTTAATTTAGAATTGTTTTTATTCTGGGACTTACCACTCAGATTTTTTATTTCAGGTCATTAACATAGATTTTGAGGAGAGAGGAAAGAGGGGAGATTTAAAACATTTTTATTGAGTTACAATTTACACACAATAAAATGCACAGGTTTCAAATGCTCATTTTAATAGGTTTTGATAATTTGACAGTAGTATACAACCTTGTTATCACCATCCAAAACAAGATACGGAACATTTCTGTCCTCTCAAAAAATGCATTTAGTAAGAGGGAAGTTTTGCCAATTTTTCTTTTTGAGTTCTTTTTGTTTCTAGCATTCTTTATATATTTTGGATGGGAGTCTTGTCAGATATGCATATTGCAAATATATTTTTTTTCTGATTTGTGACTTCTTCAATAAATTGTGTCTTTTGACTCACATATTTTTAAACGTGATGAAGTCCCATTTATCAGTGTTTTTTATTTATGATTAGAACTTTTTGTGTCCTTTCCAAACAATCTTTGCCTATGACAATGTTGCAAACAAAGATAGTCCGATATTATTGGCTAGCTTTGTAGTTCTGGGTTTTATGTTAAGACCTATGATCTATTTTGAATTAATTTTTGTATATAGTTTATTTTTAAAAAAAATTTTTTTCAACGTTTATTTATTTTTGGGACAGAGAGAGACAGAGCATGAACAGGGGAGGAGCAGAGAGAGAGGGAGACACAGAATCGGAAACAGGCTCTAGGCTCTGAGCCATCAGCCCAGAGCCTGATGCGGGGCTCGAACTCACGGACCGCGAGATCGTGACCTGGCTGAAGTCGGACGCTTAACCGACTGCACCACCCAGGCGCCCCAATTTTTGTATATAGTTTATAGAGTGAAATAGTCTACTTTCATGTTCCCCCTCCCCCCCATATAGACAGTTAAGTGTTCCATCACCATTTGTTAAAAAGACTTTCTTTCCACAGCGAATTGGTTTGATACCTGGTCTGAAATCAGTTGTGTGGGTCCATTTCTTCACAATGTATCCATTACCATTTTGTCTACCTTGATGCCTGTGCCATACTGTCTTGATTACTGTAGCTTTATAGTTATCAGCTTGGGGCAGTTTCAGGATCCTGGGGACACTTGACAATGTTGGAAACCGTTTTGTTTGTCACAGGTGTGGGTTGTAGGGGAGTGAGTGCTACTGGCATCTAGTGTGTGGAGGCCAGAGATAATGCTAAACATCTTCTGCACACAAGACAACCCCCCACAACAAAGAATTACCCAGCCCAAAATACAAATGGCCCTGAGGTTCAGAAATCCTGCTTTGTAAGAAAGTCTTGAAGTCAACTAGTATAAGTTTTCCAATTAAAAAAAAAAACAAAACTGTTTATTCTGTTTCCTTTGTATTACCATATGAATTTTAGAATCTGCCTATCAGTTTCTGTAAGAGAATGCCTACGATTTTGGTAGTAATTGCTTGAAAATCTAGATCTGTTCAGTATGATAGCTTAGTAAACTTCAAGATAATTAAATAGTATAGACAATTAAAATTGAATGCAGTTAGAGACTTAGTTTCTCATTTGTGCTGTTTTTCAAGTGCTTAATAGCTTTAAGTGGCTATCATGTCAAATAGCACAACCAGAGAACATTTCCATAATTATAGAAAATTCTTTTGGCCAGTACTGGTATAGATCATTTAGGAATTTATTTATTCTTATCAATGAGTGTATAAGCTTTTTTGTAGATACTCTGTCAGATTATGAAAGTTCCATTGTATTCCTAGTTTACTGCTTGTTTTGAATTATGATTGAGTATTGAATTGTCAGATGTGTTTTGTCTGTTGAGAAAGAAAAGCCTATAGGGTTTTTCTCCTCTATTTAGTAATTTTGTTGGTTTTTTCACATATTAGATCAGCCTTGACTTCTTGGGATAAACCCCACTTAGAATGCATCAGTGTTTGATTTCATAATATCTTGGGGATTTTTGCATCTGTGTTCGTGAGGGATTTTGTTTGGTCTGCATTCTTCTTTTACGATGTCCTAATCTTGTTGTGGTATTAGGGGAATGTTGGCCTCATACAGTATGTTGGGAACTATTCTAGGAGAGGAGACATATTAGTAACTGAACTCTTACTCTGCACACATTACAGATACCACCTCCTTAAATCCTTGAAACCATGGTAGGAGGTAGTAACATCCCAACTTTGCAGGTGATGAACCTCAGGCTCAGAAAGGTAAAGTCATTTCCCAAGGGCACATAGCTAAACTGGTGAATCTGATTCCAGGCTATCGGGAGTCTCTAACAGCAGCTCTTGAATGATACCTCTCACTACTGGTTCCATGGGGACAAGTCAGGCTGTACCCCAGGTGGGTACATAAACCTCAGTTAATGAGGCAGAGTCTAGCTGCCTGCAATAGACTGTGCTCCCAGCAAGAGAGCCTGAGGGTCCACTCTTGGACCCTCTTTGGCCACTGCCCGGTGGGTTCTCCTGTCTTTCCTGGAGTGTAAGGATTTCCCTTTACATTCCCTGGTGAGGAGACTTTGGTGCCTCCATAGAAATCAGCTCTGAATGGTTGCTGAGGGCACATTCCCGTTGGGGGTAGAGCTGGGAATTGCCCAGAAGCTCAGCATGGATAATCTCTCTCATTCTAGGATGTTTGGATATTAATTCATCTGTGAAAGGGGCTCGTTTTGTCCGATTCTGTGATGCATTCAATATTCCACTCATCACTTTTGTTGATGTTCCTGGCTTTCTGCCTGGTAAGTCATTGATAGGAGGGGGGCGAGGAGAGGTAGTTTTGCCCAGTAAGGCACCCACTTAATTTGGATGTTTTGTAAAATTGTCTAAGGATTTGTGACTTCTCCATATTCTAGGTGTCTGGAAGATGGGGCTGTGGGGGGTGAGTGGCTCTCTCCTGGCCCTCTGGGGAGCAGGGGAAGACCTCATAGCTGAGAGTGACAGGCATACCTTGTAAGGACTTCTGTATCTCGTAACTCTTCCTCATGACATAGGCACAGCACAGGAATACGGGGGCATCATCCGTCATGGAGCCAAGCTTCTCTACGCATTTGCTGAAGCAACTGTGCCCAAAGTCACAGTCATCACCAGGAAGGTGAGAAGAGCTGGTATCAGAGGCTGTGAGCCCACACACTTCTAGCAGCATGGCCATGGTTGGAGGTCTGGCCAAGAGTTTCAGGGGGGCTGGGAAGAGGAGTACACCTTGCTGACCCTTAAAAAGGTCTTTGGAGCTCAGGCAACATTTATAGCCCTGTGGACACACCCTGCAGATATGTTGGTGGTCATGTCTGGGAAATGAGAGCATCAGTGGGAAAGAGCCAGGAATGACAGTGAACATTAGTTGTGAAAGGCCTCTGGACTGTGCCTGTGTTTTCTCTGCACTGGCTTCCCAGCCTCAGAGACACTGGGCCTTCAGTAGCTCAGGAGGGCTTTTCCTTTTGTCCTCATTTCACTTGGCTTCCTAGAGTCTTTCAGGGATATGATCTGGTTCAGGCTCTAACATTCAGCATTTGGGTTTGTTCTAGGCCTATGGTGGTGCCTATGATGTCATGAGCTCCAAGCACCTTTGTGGTGACACCAACTATGCCTGGCCTACAGCGGAGATTGCAGTCATGGGAGCAAAGGTGAGGACCTCTAGCTTTCCCTTTTCCTGGATCCAGGTACTGGTCGTTTGCCAGCAGGAGCTTGTAGTTATGAAATGTGGAGAGAGGCCCGGACCCCTTGGATGGGCCAGGATTCCAGGGAGTTGGGACCTAGACCTTGCCGAGTCCCCACCTTGACCCCTGGGTCAGCTCTGGCTCCTGTCCTGCACTGTCACTTTAGGCACATGCTGGTGTCTTCATGCTCGAGGGGTGGGGGTGGGGAGGGGGGGATGCTGAGTGGGTTTTGAGATGGTCAGTAAAGCAGAAAGGGTTGAGTCAACTGAACTAGCCTTTGGGAGGATTGGACATTCCCTGTGATCCCATTCCCATCTCCTCTCCCAGGGAGGGCCCTGGAGCCACTGAATTGTGTACTGAGGATAAGGAAGAAGGAAAACAGCATTTTACTTCACCTGATTCAGGGGACCATGGATCTAACTATGGAAAATGGGCAAAACATCTTGGCCTGAAAGAAGGATAGATGCAATTGGATGGAATAGGATGGAATTTGGGGAGACAAGTGACTGGCTTTGCCTGGGCTGCCTGTTGTTGGGGCAACACTGAACATTGGATCACAGCCCATGGGATCGTGCTGGTTGACTCCAGCAGTGCTCACCTCTGTGCCCTGGTGCCTGGAGCCGGCATTTCTCGCCAGGGCACTGTGGCCTCGAAGTTCACAGCCACACACTGTGATAGTGGTTTGAGGGAGGTCGCCTGGGTTGGGACTGCCAGTTAAGTTTATTAACTTCTCCTATGACAGGGGGCCGTGGAGATCATCTTCAAAGGGCATGAGAATGTGGAAGCAGCTCAGGCAGAGTATATTGAGAAGTTTGCCAACCCCTTTCCTGCCGCAGTGAGAGGTAGGGACTGTGGTGGGGAGGGCGGTGTTGGGCATTTGTTGGGTCACTTGCTCATCCTTTTGCTCCAGAAAGTCTCACATCACTGCCCTTTGCCCTCACTGTGGAATCTGGAGACTGGTGAGGGTTGGGGGTTGTCTCTGGACATTGTATATACTGCTTTGGTCACCAAGGACTGAAACAATATTGCTGAAATGGCTAGTGGTGTTCAGTTACCTAATATTGTGTAAAAGTCCACTCCTAAACAAAGTGGCTGACACAGCCAACTTTTTTTTTTTTTTTTTGCTCATGTTTCTGAGGGTCGGCAGTCATTCACAGATAGTCAGTTGGTAATTCGGGGCCGGATAGTCCAAGATGGCTTCACTTACATGGTTGGTAATGGCAGTAGGCATTTTCTGCACAGGTTGCTTATTTTTATTTTTATTTTTATTTTTATTTTTATTTTTATTTTTATTTTTATTTTGAGACAGAGGGTACAAGTGAGCAAGGGACAGAGACAGAGAAGCGGTGCTCACCTGAGGTGGGGCTCAAACTCTCAAACTATGAGGTCATGACCTGAGCCGAAGTGAGATGCTTAACTGACTGAGCCACCCAGGCGCCCCATGGTTTCTCTTTCTGAACCTGGCCACACCATGCTTGCTGGTGTCCTGAGCACCTTGAGACCTAGATTTGGAAATTGCATAGTGTCATTTTTGCCACATTCTGTTGGCCAAAGCAAATCACAAGGACAAGTAAAATTGAATCCAGTTCTTGGTATGAGGGGTGATGAAATCACATTACAAAGGGACTTGTGTTACAGGGGTAGGAGGAAGGTGTACTGATTGTTGAAAATACAGACATATTTTCTTAATTTTATTTCCTGTTGACTTCATCTTGGCAGCAAGGGGCTCAGATTGCATTTTTTTGCCAAGTAGTCCTAGGCCAGAAGTTGAGGCCCTGCCAGAGGAACGGGGATGCTCCTGGGATGTGGGGGAGGGTTCACAGGGCCCGTGCCCTCTAATATCAAGTTGGGTCCTGCTCACACCCCAGAGATGGTGCCCAGGCTGAGCACAGATTGGGGGGGGGGTGGCCTTATTTGGGGATGCACATGATCTATTTCCTTTTCTATGCTTCACCAGGATTTGTGGATGATATCATCCAGCCTTCCTCCACACGAGCCCGAATCTGCTCTGACCTGGATGTCTTAGCCAGCAAGAAGGTACAGCACCCTTGGAGGAAACATGCAAATATTCCATTGTAAACCAATCAAAGGAAAATAAACCAAGAGCCAGTTACCGCCTGGCCATTTGCACCCATCTCTGCCTTTTGCAATCATGAAACCTGGAAATCTAAATATCAGTAATAACTTGAAATGGCTGTTTATTAAATCCTAGGAAGATTTCATTTGTGCCTTACTGTAAAATTAATTGCTTTATTAAAAATTTGTTTAACTGGTATTTTTTGAGAACAAATTTCATTTTTTACGGTATAAATCTGAAAAATCTAGAAAAACAGTGTATTGTCACTTAGAGCTGACCCTTATTTGACACCTCTGTGTATTTTCCTTTTCCCCCAAGATGTTTTTCTTTGTAGGTGAGATAATAAGCTTTTAGGGCAACATACTTACCTGGTTAGCCTTCATTCCGCACCCCCCCCTTTTTTAAATGCTTATTTGAGAGAGAGAGAGAGAGAGAGAGAGAGAGAGAGAGAGAGAGAGAGAACAGGCAGGGGGAGGGGCAGAGAGAGAGAATCCCAAGCAGGCTCCTTGCTATCAGTGCAGAGCCTGACGTGGGGCTCAATCCCATGAATCGTGGGATCATGACCAGAGCTGAAATCAAGAGTTGGATCCTTAACCGACTGAGCCACCCAGGCGCCCCTATTTCCTTATTTTTTATTTTATTTTATTTTTATTTTTTTAATGTTTGCTTATTTTTGAGAGAGAGAGAGAGAGAGAGTGAGTGAGAGCAGGGGAGGGGCAGAGCGAGAGAGAGAGAGAGAGGGAGACACAGAATCCCAAAGCAGGCTCCAGGCTCTGAGCTGTCAGCACGGGGCCCGATGTGGGGCTCAAACTCACGGACCAGGAGATCATGACCTGAGCCAAAGTTGGACACATAACCGACTGAGCCACCCAGGAAGCCCATAAATAATATTTAATAACATGCCCTCAATTCCTCTAGGAATCGTTGAGGATGTTTGTAGTTGTATCTGGCAGAATAGATGCTCAGTCATATGGGATATAGTACCCTATATTAAATGCTTTTCAGAAATGTGTTGTCACATTTTAGAAAACTTAGTTTGGAAAATTTCAGACCTGTAGAAATGTTGCAGGAGTGGTATTTGTATATCTTTCACTGAGGGTATCCACTTAATTTTCTACATTTACTATATGTATAATAGCATATGCTATTATGTATGGTATATAGAATGTAGTATATAGAATACTATGTATTCTCTTCCATAAATACATAATTATTATTTTTATTGACCCATTTAAGTAAGTTGTAGAACCATGACCCTTTGTCCCCCACCCTGCCAAATGTATTTATTTCCTAGGAAACAAGGCTCATTGCCTTACAGTCTTTCATTACATTGACAATTTGGAAGAATGGTTGCCAGTTATTTTGTAGAATGTCCCTCAATTTGGGTTTGTCTGATTGTTTCCAGATGTTCAGACCAGGTAAGAATGTTCTTTCTATGTATCACATAAGAAGCACATGATGCTAGTTTTTTCCATTATTGATGAAATTGACTCATCACTTGGTTAAGGTGGTGGCTGCAAAGGTTACCATTTTTTCTTTGTAATTAATAGCTGATCTGGGGGCATTCTTTAAGCCCGTCAACAAATTTTCATCCTGTACTTTTAGTACCTATTGATGGTTCTTGCCTCTCAATCAGCCATACTGTAGAATCTGTTGATTCTAAAATGTTGCATTTGTTAGTTTGTTACTGTGCCAGAAGAGGTTTCTTTTCTGTTTTTAAGTATTTGTTAGACTCATGGATTCTTTTTTTTTTTAAACATTTTTTCCTGAAATAATTTTTTTTCTTACCATGCTATCACCCTGTCAAATTTTCAAACACTAAGTACTTTTGCAGGTGTCCTTACTGGTGTTTCTCTGTGGCCTACCCTTCAAGTTAGAAATCTTGTTCCAAGTTAATACACTAATTTCAGGTCTGGATTTTGTTGCATTCTTTGCTCTAGCACTTCCAGTGCATAGGGCCTTTCAGTCTGGTCATTAGCCCACAGCCCTGTCACCTCCCCCTTGGGACATCCTTTTGCTAAATAGCTCCAGTTTGCTCATGCTCAAGGACCTTAGTTCCTCTCAACCTGTGAGCTAGAACTGATTTTGCTTATTGCAGGTTTGTTTTTTTTTTTTTAAAGCATCTGAGTGTGCATTTTTTTTCTCTGTATATTTTTATCTAAGTAGATGGTGAGTTTCAAGGGGGCAGAGACTGGACACAAGTTCTTTATGTTCCTCTTTGGCACCAGCAGAAAGGTTATAAACTGTGGGAAAGGAGTTGGCCGATTCTTGGGCTTTTAGAGGTCTCCTAAGAAGCCATGCAGGTTGGTTAGCATGTGGCTCAATTGCTTAAAATTGATTAGCGAATCCAATTTCTGGGGTCAGCTAACCTAGGATTTGGAATGCTTGGAGGATGACTGTGCTATCATCTATATGAAAATAATACATACAAGTTTGTGGGTTTTTTTTTTTTTCCTTTTTGAGGAAGGGGTCCAAGATGTGTTTTACTAGGTTGTGAAATCTGGATGCTGAGAAGGGCTTGTTCCTGGGCCTAAGAGATAGAGGAACCAGCCTAATAAAACACTTGGGCAAGAGACTTCTGGGAAGCCTTGGAATGGAGATGGTTAATAACCAATAAACAAAGCTGGTGGCCAAGGAAACAAAAAGCTGCAAGACCTTGCAAGTAGACCAGCCTCTGTGGATGATAGAATGCCATGAGAATGGTGGCAGAGTATTTTCAGTGGCTGTTGTTTAGGAATGCCTTTCCCAGGTGGTATTCGGTCTTTAGGGGGAAAAAGAAAACTGTGGACTTTAACCAGAGGACTTGGGTTTACTGAGCAGAGCAGTGGCAAGTGTCTCTCTTTAGACTGAGAGCAGGTAATATGGTGAGAATGGAAATGGAGTTTAAGAGGTACGGAGGGTCCTGTTGCACCTGCCCCAGCTCCTCTTGCCTTAAGTAAACCAGTTTATCCTGAGCCATGAAGCTAGGGTGGTGAAGCTGCGATTTGAACCCAGGCAGATTTGTCTCAACTCCACATGTCTCTATAACCAGTCAGAACACTGCTTTCCAACTGATGTAGTAGGTGGGATGAACTCCTAAGAGGGGAGTGAGAAAGGTGGTGGCTCGCTCCACTGGAATTGTCTCACCCTGAAGAGCTATTAAATTTAGAAAGCTTTCCTACCTTATGCATGATGGCCTGTCAGTCCTTACTTGATTTGCTCGAATAGGGAGTAAATTCACAATGCAGCCTTCCAGTTGCTTGTGTTTGCAGAAAGTTCTCCTAGCTTCTCTTCTGATCATGTTTTGTCTCCTTACTGAGTCCTCTGCCTGTGGGTTCACTGATGCTTTTGGCTGCTTCGGGGTGTTTTAGATACGGTCTACCTAGAAAAGACTGTGAAGGACACTCATCCATATATTAACACTTTAGAGCAAGCAAGTACGGGGAGAGAGTCAGGGAGAGTGGGAGAGAATCTTAAGCAGGGCTTAAGCAGGGCTCCATGCCTAGTGTGGAGCCCAAAGTGGGTCTGGATCCCACAACTCTTGGGATCACCTGAGCCGGCATCAAGAGTTGGACGTTCAGCGGAGTCACCCAGGCGCCCGAGTTAACACTTCTGATGTAGTTGAAGCAACCTAGACTTAACCTGTTTGACAGATATGAATATTTTATGTCTTTCTTGTTCTAAAGGATTTCTAGATAGCTGTGGCTAGAAACTACTGATTCTTATGCTGTTGCACCTCTGTGGGTGTGGGATCTCCACCACAGGACCTATGGCCACTTTAACGGGCAGAGCCTCAGTTTGGGGCTCCTATGGAGTCTAGCCAGAACATTTGGGTAGATGTAGCATTCTTAGTAGGGAAGTTCTAACCATGTCCACACTCTCCTAGGTGGTGAGTAAAAAACCTCCTTTACATGTCCTTGGGAGCAGAAAGCCGTCCTTCAAAAAGTGATGTGTAATAAAGACCCCGATAGAGCAAGGCACTTAGGAGGGCAGGGCTGGAACCTTACTGGAGCTTGGTCTGCTATGAAAAACCTAAGGGGGAGGCACTAAGCCTTTACTTTCCATGAAGACACCGTTCGTTTGATGGATTCTTTTCTGGAAGCAGGGCCAAAAGAGTGAGTGAAGTCACATCTGGGAGGTTTCCAAGTTTGTCCCAAGGTAGAGCTGCACTGAGTAAAGCCCTGGTCTAGTCTCATAAGCTTGTAAAGATGAGAGCTGCCGGAGACCCATCCTTATTATCTTCCTCCTGTGCCCAGAGAGCTCACCTGCTGATTTAGCCCTTATATCCCTGCTTTTCCTGCAGACATTTTAGGCCATCTAACAAACACAGCCCGAAGAACATGGCCAGGCCCATGAAGTGTAGGGCATGACTTTTTTTTTTTTTTTAGTTTATTTTTGAGAGATCAAGAGAATGGCAACTGGGGGAGGGGCAGAGAGAGGGAGAGGATTCTAAGCAGGCTCCATACTATTAGTGCAGAGCCTGACACAGGGGCTCAGTCTCACAAACGGGGAGATCAGGACCTGACCTGAAATTAAGAGTCCAATGCTTAACTAAGTCACCCAGGTGCCCCAGGGCATGACCTTTGTAAGAGTGATGTCTGGCACCAGTATCAAGAAACTCTCACATGGCTCTATAGAATCCAAGTAATCTTTAAAAGGCCACTGTTTGTTAGGGGGAACCATGCATAAGCCTTGGTGCTGGATATGTGGCCAGGGCAGGATCCAGGCTACAAACTCTGAATGCCTCCTTCAGAATTCAGCCTGCAAGAGACCTCCTCTTGAATCATAGACAACTCGGCCTACCCACTTTCTCCAGGGAAATCCAATTAATGAAAGATAATGAACTAGTCCTAAATTTCTTTCCTTTAAAAACAAAACAAGGGGGGCGCCTGGGTGGCGCAGTCGGTTAAGCGTCCGACTTCAGCCAGGTCACGATCTCGCGGTCTGTGAGTTCGAGCCCCGTGTCAGGCTCTGGGCTGATGGCTCGGAGCCTGGAGCCCGTTTCCGATTCTGTGTCTCCCTCTCTCTCTGCCCCTCCCCCGTTCATGCTCTGTCTCTCTCTGTCCCAAAAATAAATAAATGTTGAAAAAAAAATTAAAAAAAAAAAACCAAGGGGCGCCTGGGTGGCGCAGTCGGCTAAGCATCCGACTTCAGCCAGGTCACAATCTCGCGGTCCGGGAGTTCGAGCCCCGCGTTGGGCTCTGGGCTGATGGCTCAGA